GATGGCGGCACGAGAGGAGTCCGCAGGGATGGCGCGGATGGCGGATGGCGGAGTCTACTCGCGGACGGTGCGGCCCTCCCTTGCTCCCTCCTCCTCCCAGACGACATGCGCCCTCTGTCCGGCGGCCTCTGCATCTCCGCGCTCGGCATGGCGGAGCGTCACCACCGAGGATGGCCGCCGCGCTGTCCTCCATCACTGCCGAGGGCTCACCTGCGCGTGGCCTGGGCGAGCAGGCGCGGCACGGCGGCGACCCTTGTTCTGCCCTCTGCACGGTGCTGAGCACCACGGGCAAGACCATCTGAAATGGCAGAAGTGCGCATTCTTTCTTGTAATTTTTACGGTAGGTGGAGCGACAGTTTGAGCCTCTGTAGCATGAGAAATTTATGCAGTTTCAGAAAGACAAGTTTTGCTTAGCTCTTCAGCCACTTGTATACATAGACGAAGTGATCTTCCGTGCGCAATTGCTCTCTTATTCAGGTTTCTAACAACTTGAACAATAAACTAAAACCAGCCCAAGATCATTTTGTTAAACGACCGTGTGTGCAGGTGTCATCTTTCTGTGAGCCCTGAGCTGATGACGAACATGCCCCAGTGACTTGAACTTCATGTGGTTATGATCTTTTCTTAGATGCAGAAGTGTAATGGCATCAGCACATTTTTGTCATCCTTCAGATTCCAGTGTATTCAGGTATTCGAATGTTTGCTGCAAACCAGCATTCCAGCAGCATCTTAATTTATACAGCAAACTCGAGCAGCGTTCTGCCGTGCCCGTGGTGCTGCCGTGCTCGCCTTGCTGCTGCCATGAGGATGTCCATCACATGTTCGACGAAATCTCTCAAAGGAGTAAACTTACCGATTTAGAGAAGAGGTGACTATATCAAAACAAATCAGGCAACCAAACACGCTGTGGGGCTAGCCAAGTTTAGATAGTACAGACAACCAAACAGCCCCATGTTAGCTTGCTGGAGCCAGATTTAGCCTAGCTAGGCTACAACTAAGCCAGAAAACCAAACATACCATAGTCTTATACATCACACGTCGGAAAGTAACTCTATTCTTTTGCCAAAACCTCCAACACTACGAGAGCGTCAACTAATGAACACAACCTAGTAATCCTAAGGACACTCGGTGAAAGAACCACCATCTGATACCCATCCAATATTTGACAAAGTAAAGAAATAAAGCAAACTTGAGCAACGATTACTTAAGTTTTCAGTCACTGAGAATGAGTATACTACAAGTTATTATCTTGCTGATGATGGGATATGTCTAGGGCCCTGTTTAGTTGGCGATTTTTTTTGGAAAATGGTATTGTAGCACTTTCGTTGTTATTTGGCAATTAGTGTCCAATCATAATCTAATTAGGCTTAAAAGATTCGTCTCGTGAATTTCGTCTAAACTGTGTAATTAGTTTTATTTTTTATTTATATTTAATGTTTCATGCATGCGTCCAAAGATTTGATGTGACGGGAAATCTTGAAAAATTTTGCAAAATTTTAGGAACTAAACAGGCACTAGAATGAGCTGCCTTCATCAAGACTATACCACTTTCCCAACACTGAGAAGCATAAATTACTTGCCAAGCACCAAGGAGAGGCAAGGAAAGATGTGGAGTGTGCTTTTACGGTGTTGCAATCCATTTTTTCCATTGTTCGCCGACCTACAAGTCTATAGAAGAGAAAAACTGATAGAAGGATCATGCTAGCTCATGTGATTCTCTATAATATGATAGTCAAAGTTAAGAGAGAGGGTGCTACTATTCATATTGGCATGAATGATAATCTTTGCTTCGCTGATGTGCTGCTTATAAAAGTTGTTATTGTGCTTTTTTTTTGTTTTAGTCGAGCACATTTAATGTCAGGTTTGAAAATAGTCATCATAACTAGTTATAGTAGAATTCTGAAATCCGCATATTATGAGATGATGGTTCATCTCATATTATATTTTATTTGATAAAATAGCATGGATGGGCGTATATGTTAAATCCGCATATTATGAGATGATGGTTCATCTCATATTATATTTTATTTGATAAAATAGCATGGATGGGCATATATGTTATCTCGCACGCACGGGCACACATATATGATACGATTGGTCATTTATGCTATCTAGTTATTATCATAAAATTGTTGTTTGATAAAATAACCACAACAGATGATATCAACATGGACACATAAATACTTAGCATGTTGGATGTTTCAACCATCTAATCACTGACAATCCTTGATTTCTAGTTTTGCTACAACGCTTGAGCATCGCTTAAGGGTCTTATATATATCAGTAAAGAAAATGGAAATCTTAGTAGGACCGTACGTGAGTGTGCTGTGTGGATCGCTGCAGGTGAGTGCTTCCATGGCAGTTTTTTTAGGATGTGTTCAGATTATTATTTACTAGTTATTGTATTGTCTGGCTGCGTAAGAAGTTAGTGTAAGATATGAGTTTGGTTCTCTCCAGGATTTCACCCATTTTTCACACGTTGTAGCTGCTCGTCCAACGTCTCGTGCAGCCACCTTCCCCCCGACTTAAATTATTAGCCTCCAACTGGCCGTTACAGCGGACCATGACCGTGTATCCAGCCAGGCCCAGGCGTTGCCTACACGGTGGTCCCAGGGGGATGCTAGGGTCCGGTCAATCGGACCGGTACCCCGCGCCAAACACGCAGCGCGCGCGTGGCTGATACCGGCGCGGGAGATTCTCATATACGATACTGACATGGGAGATTCTGGCGCACGTGGGATGTTCTTATACTGCACAGCTTAGGCCCACCTCTCGCTTATGACTTTCAATCAACTAAAAAAAGTCATACGAGATTCCGATTACACCATCAGATTTCTTGTAATAAATCCTTCAAAACAAGATCCCACGTGGATATATTTGAACAAATTTTTATTAACGAACATTTATTTTATAAAGATAGAATATTTTTCTTTTACTGAACAGAGACATGTTCTAAGTTTAGAAAACAATGTTCTGTCTTCGTAAGACTGATATTTCTGGCTTAGAAGAACAGTATTCTAGTTTTAGGTTCATGTATTGATATTATAATATACATAAGTATAAATAAATACATAACGTTAATAAAAAATAATAAAGAGTAAATCATAAGGAAAAAATTAAAAACACGTAATAGAGAAAAAATTAAAAGAACATCATATGGATACTTTTTGAAACATCCTAAAAGATACTATAGAACATCACAAGTATACTGAGTGAACATCACTAGATACACCATAGAACATCACTAAATACATTATAGAAAATTTAAAAGAACATCTCATGGATACTTTTTGAAACATCATAAAATATACTATAGAACATTATAAGTATACTGAGTGAACATCACAAAATATACCATATAACATCACTAAATACATTATAAAAAATCGCAAGTATACTACGCAAACATCACATGTATACTATGTGAACATCATATAATACATTATAGAACATCACTAAATACATTATAAAACATCGCATATGAATCACGAAAAAAAATCATAAACATCACATGTATACTATGTGAACATCACAGAATATATTATAGAACATTAGTGTATACTTACGTGAACATCATATTTATACTGCGCAAACATCACAAAAATAAATCATAGAACATCACATATATACCATGTGAACATAATAAAATATCACATGTATAACACGTGAACATTATAAAAAAACATAGAGCGTCACATGTATACTACATGAACAATACAAAAACATTAGAGAAAGGAAATAACAAAATAAGAAAACGAAAGAAAAGAAAACAAAAAAAAGAAATAAAAGAAACATAAAAAATTATAAAAATAAAAGAATATAAAAAAATCACATAAAACAAAAAAGAAATGTAAATAGAAAATGAAGCAAAAGAAAGAAAAGAAAAGAAAAAAAGAGAAGATTAAAAAAATAAAATAAAAAATGAACTAACATACCTAGAGGCAGGCCGCAAAAACAATAAAATAAATAAAAATAAAAATGAAGCAAGAAAAGAAAAAGAAAAAGAAAAAGAAATAAAATCACATGAAACAAAAACAAAAACAAAAATAAAAAATGAAAAAGGAAATAAAAAATAATAAGAAAAGGAAATAAAAAAATAAAACAAAAAGAAATAAAATAAACATAAAAAAAATAAAAACTAAAAGAATAATAAAAAATCACATAAAAGAAAAAAGAAAATATAAAAAATAATGAAGCACGAAAATAAAAAGGAAAAAGAATAGAAAAGCAAAGAAAGGAAAATAAAAGAAAACAAAAATAATAAATGAAAAAAGAAAAAAAAATGAACAAGAAAAGAAAATAAAAAAACCTGAAATAACGACACTGGCTATCCAGCTAACGAAACGAAGAAACATGGTAGTGGGCCGGCCACAATGTGGGGCCGTCCATGCACGCAGCATCCGCGCTCCCGCCCGCACGCAGCGTCCGCCGCGCGGGAATCGAAAGACTCAGGCGATGCGCAAATCATCGGCGATTCGGCGGGATGTCCGAAGAATTCCGGTGGTCCCAGAGACCCAGACCCAGACCCACGCGGGTTCGTCGTTGCCTAAGCGTGGGTGCGCGATACGCGCCATGTTCGTCTCATCATCGCGTGGGAGGGAGGAAGACTTGCGGGCCTGAGTCTTGCCGACGGGCGACGGTCCAATGGGTCGCTTTCCGGACGGGTAGCCGAAGCGAGGCGATTTCGATGCCAACTTGCCAAAGGGACGAGGACGAGGCCCCCCCGGCTCCACGGGATTCCACTTAAACCACGCCAAAACCAGCTCGCGATTCCGCGCTCCTCCACTGATCCTCCCCGGCTCCACGGGATTCCACTTAAACCACGCCCCAGCTCGCGATTCCGCGCCCGCCCCTGATCCCCCACCCCCACCCCCACCCCCCCACCACCCCACCCCGCGCCATTCCCACCACCCTGCCCTCTCCCTCCCCCTCCCCCCACCCACTCCCACTCCCACTCCCCATCCGCCTGCCGCCGCGCCACTTCCGGGCAGCAGCTTCGCATGGACGAGGCCTTCGCGCGCGCGGTGGAGGACGGGCTCAAGCTCACCAAGCGCCTCGTGCTGCCCAACGGGGGCGGGCTGCCCGCGCCGCGCCCGCACCTGGCGATGGAGCGCGGGGACAACGACCCCGCCGCCGCCGCGCTGCTGCGGCAGCAGCTCATGCCCGCGGCGCCCATGGCGTACGCGGTCGTCGTCGACCCGGGCGCCGTCGACAGCCCCGACGTGCCCAGCTACCAGCCCCACGTGTACGGCCGCCTCGACCCGCCCGCGCTCATCCCGCTCCAGATGCGGGAGGTCGACCTCCGCGTCGACTGCGCCGCCGCGGCCGGGTGCGCCACCGCCGAGGTCGCCCTGCGCGCGCGCTGGTGGCTACACTGCATCACGCGCAGCCGCGCGTGCCACTGCCGCATCGTCGTGCCCATGGGTCACCAGGTCCAGCATCCCCGCACTCGATCCTTTCCTTGCTCTTTGCGTTTCCGATCGATTCGTTTTTTCCCCCGCCCTTTATCATCGATTGTTGCTACTGTTCTGCTAGATTTGGATATGGTTAGGCGTTGGAATGATTAGAATTCACTTGCATCCACCGGCAGTTTGATTCCTGTTAGGTGGATGGGGCCCCGATTTGCTGTCGCTTTGGACTGTGCTCTCCGGATCACGCAAATCAGGACCTAACCTTGTGCCATTATGTCTTTACTCCTGACCTACATTGGCCTGGATCATGGCTGCCATTGGGGCCATCGCCCTGTCTTTCTGTTGCCAGTGGATTCCAGCATGGTTTTGGCACAAAGCAAGACAAATTCCTTGCTTTCCCTGCTACAAGAAAGTAGCATCGGATTGAACTTGCTAAGGGATAGCTTTCTTTGTGCACTTGTCCAACAAAGACTTCCACTACTGGATTCTTTTGTGCTCGTCGTTGTTGTACAGTATTTGGAGAATTGCTTCACTGGAACCCATAATTCTGCCCCCCCAAAAATGCACGCCTTCAACTGTAATTCTGAGAGACAGAAGTAGTGTGGACTACTTTTTATTTGGATTAGGAGCTTTGCTTTCTCCAGCAGAATTACTAAAACATGTTCAGTTTATGACTGTATGATATAAATTTCTCCTGCATTCTGGTGTTGGTTGACAACCACTTTAGAGAAGGCTTGTTTCATGGAACTTGGGAACTGTGCATGAGGAAGTTCCATTTCTTTCATTTTTAGTGCTGTTCCTTGTGCTCTTTCAGATGTTTTGACTTTTGAGTTTAGGAAGAATTCCATTTTTGCCCTCGAACTATCATGAGAGTCCGATTTTTGGCCCCTGAACTCATATACCAGACAACTTCGGCCCTTCAACTATTCAAACAGGGCGTTTTTTACCCTTCAGCTGTTTTGAAGCTAGGAGTAGTTTTTGCTGACATGGCAGTGGTTTTGCCACGTAGGATGTGTTTTAAATAATGCATATCAGTCCAATTACCAGATTGAAAAAATGAGACCCCAATTTAATGGCTAAAGTTGTCTGTCATTTGGGTTGGGGCCCCAAAATCGTACTCTCATGATCATTCAAGGGCCAGATATGAAATTCTTCCTTTAATTTAACAACTCCTTTTCTTTGCAAGTTAAATTTTGTAGCTTGATGATACCGACCATAAGAGAATTAATGTCATTTATGTACCCATCAGTGTGCATATCGTAGGGATTCTTTAATTTTGAAAAATGCACATGCCATGACTGTAAGCACTTAATAACTAAGAAAAGATATATGTGCTACTGTATTTTTATTGGCATTAATTTTCAATGCTTATATTATCTGAAATAATTCTAGTGTGATTTTCTTCTGGCATCAATCTAAGAAAAATTTCACTAATAGGGTTCAATTCTACGCGCTGAGGTTACTGTTGGGAAAAGATCATACAATACTCATGTAATTGATATAGAGGATAACTGTGCAGTGAAGATTGAAATCCCCGAGAGTGGGGGTCTTTTAAAACAGGAACTATTTTCCTTAACAATACCACAGGTATTTGCTACATACTTCTCCAATTGTTGCCAACTACTATCCTGTGAAGCTTCAAGCTTCTATTAGCCACATTGGTTTTTGTTGATTAGTTTCCTTTGTGTCTAGGTTGGAGGTGGAGAAGATATATTTGCCACAATCAGATGGTCACAGAAGTTGCTATATGACAACAGACAGTTTTCTGTTGAAGTACCTTTTCGTTTCCCGCAGTATGTGAACCCTTTGCCAAAGGTTTTCATGAAAAAGGAGAAAATACAGTTGACTGTGAATAGTGGTGTTAGTAAAGAGGTTTTGTTGCAGGGAACAAGCCATCCCTTGAAGGTAATCAAGTATTTACTGCTTTTGCTTTGCAACATATAATTACCGCTCAATCGTCTGCTGTGGTTTCAGGAAAAAAGTAGGCAAGGTGAGAAATTGTCTTTCCTGCACGAAGCAGTTGTTGAGAATTGGTCAACCAAAGATTTTACCTTTGCATATACTGTGAGTTATCCGATGCCTTCTCTGAGTTACCTGTACCTGTTTGATATTTTCATTTATGCCTGTTCAATTCTTCTAATCTTACTTCATACTTTCAGTGGAGATGAGAATGCACCCATTTGCCCAACTTTTATTTTGTCATCATGTTTATAGGTTTATTCTGGTGATTTGTCTGGTGGAGTTCTCGTGCAGCCCTCAACATTGCGTGACTATGATGACAGAGATATGTTCTGCCTTTTTCTTTTACCTGGAAATAACGAGAATAGAAAGGTAGTTCCTCTTGCTTGGGTGTCATCATGTTGTCTCGACATCATGAATAAAACACTTGTTAGTGGATACAATCTGATGGTTACAAATGGTTGGTTATGTTTTCGTTGAGGTGAAAATCAGGAGGTAAATCTGTAAAAGGCTGTAGTAAGCTGAATGGGAAATTAGTTTTTTTTTTAATTGCAAATAACTCTAAATTTCTGGTGCTGTTAATTTATGTTGTTTCTCAGACATTTATATCTTTTTAATGTTAACATGAAATCTTTTATTTCTCGGCCATTATTGAAGATATAGTGACTCTATTTAATGGTACGAACAATATTGGTTTGACATGAAAATAATATATAGTGGCTCTATTTAATGGTATGAACAATATTGATTTGACATGAAAATAATATTTATTTCTTGACCCCTTTTTATATTCGTAAAAGTCCCCCTTTATGGTAATTTATTATCTCATTTGAGTAATCTGATAGGTCTTTAGAAAGGCTGTTGTTTATATCATTGATACAAGTGGAAGCATGCAAGGAAAGCCTCTTGAGAGTGTTAAGAATGCTATGTCCACTACTCTCTCTGATCTTATGCAAGGAGATTACTTCAACATAATAACATTTAACGATGAGCTTCACTCATTCTCATCACGTTTGGAGCAAGTAAATGAAAGAACAATCGGAAATGCTATTGAATGGATGAACCTAAACTTTGTCGCTCAGGGTGGCACTGACATCATGCATCCTTTGAGTGAGGTATGACGTATGAAGACAATAACAAGTTAATGTTTGTCATATGTTCAATGTCACCATTGTTGTTCATGTTTTCCCTCTTTTCATGGTTACAAGGCAATGGCTTTGCTGTCAAGTTCTCATGATGTCCTTCCACAAATCTATTTTGTTACTGATGGGTCAGTTGATGATGAACGGAATATCTGCCATACTTTGAAAACTCAGCTTATTAAAAGTGGATCTAAGTCTCCTCGAATTTCTACTTTTGGGCTAGGTAATATCTTGTACCATAACTGGTTGTGTATTGCACCACTGATCCAACTACTCTACTAAAAAATCATATCAAGCTAAACCATGTAGGCAAATTCTCTGTTGTTTTTTTAGAGTCATGTATGCATCCTTTAGTCCAACATCTTCCTATGGAGATATTTGCTTTATAATTTCTTTTGAACCACTCAACTTTGCTAAGGGTACTCCTTAAATCTTGTGAAAGAACTAAAGTGCAATAATATTGTTTCTTGTCGTATGTGGTATGTGGTGGGTATAAAATTTGATTTTCTTACATAACACTGCTGATTTACTTGTCAGATAAATTTTCTAATTGTTTTCCATAATGCTGGAAACAACATATTAGGTTCATACTGCAACCATTATTTCTTGAGGATGTTGGCATCGATTGGTAAGGGTCACTATGGTGCTGCATTTGATACAGGTATGGACATGCTTGTCCCTTTTATCTCAGAAGCCAAATGTGTCCCCCCCTCCTTTTCCCCTGTTCTGCGCACAGTATCTTTTGATGGAATTCAAGTATTGCATTATGCTCTTATATTTTTAGTCCCCACTTGTAGATTTTCTTCTTTGACATTCCGTGCTGTAGCTTGCCTAGATGAGCTCATGCCTTTTTAGTTACCCCGACCTGCTGATATAAGTAGAAAGCAACATGATGCATATCTCAGATATCATCTTGGTCTTCTAGATCATAAGTCAAACTTCATTCAATTGATCAAGAAAATTTGTTGCTCTTGCATAATCAAAAGTTAGCCTAATGCAAGTTGCCAGGACTAGAAGCCTTTTTTGTTGTTGCTACATGATCAAAAGTTAGGATTTTGCTACCGATAATATAATTTTTGTTTAATATGTTGCCAAAATCAGTATATTCATATAATAGGCCTTCTGATATCTTTTTTTGTATTTCCATCGAGTCCAGCAACTATTAGTTCAAAACAGAAGGCATTATGGATTCTTATCGAGTAAAACTAATGAATATTAAATATGTTGACTGACATATATTATAAAGGGACTTGAGGAGGTTAATCAAATTTGTAAAACTGAACTTTATTCTGATTTTTTCCACCTCAGGATCAATTGAGAGTCAAATGCTTCAATGGTTCCAGAAAGCCTCAAGCACTATAGTGTCAAATGTTTCCATTGATGCCATAAAGCATATTCAAGATTTTGAAGTGAGTAATTTTTAGTGTACATTCACTGTTCTGTTGCTGCCTGTGAAAGAGCAACCCATGTAATTACCTTTTCTATTCTCCTGATGATAAGATTATATCTACTATACAGTGTGATACGGTCTCCTTTCAAAGTAGCTGTTCAACTACCTTGTGCACACAACAAGAAACAAACTGTCCACAGCAATTGATATATTGGGCCAGAACAGAGGACAAAGCTGGGTCTACTATTGAAATGATGAATCCCATAGATTATGCAACTATCTTAAAAGGAAGGATTACCTTGTAGATGCATGTAATTTTTAGGCCATTGTCATTGCAATAAGAAAGTTGATTAAAGCCGAGTGAACTGTGCCAGTATCTTAGCCATTAGTTTCCTTATCTGGTTATACAGCTATGTTTCTTACATTCAAGCTTTTCTTTTCCAATCAGGTGGATTCTGAATATATTCCAGACATTTCAGCAAAATATCCATTGTGTGTTTCTGGAAGGTACAATGGCAAGCTTCCGGAGACACTTATCGCCAAGGGTCACTTGGCTGACATGAGTGAAATATCTATTGAATTGAAAGTCCAACATATAAAGGATATACCTCTTGATAAAGTAAGATACTCAATACTTCTTATGTAGTTATTTTCAGATGATTTTTTTTTACAATTACTCTGACCTGCTGATGTACACCATTCAATGAAATAGACAGTATAAGTATCAGAGTAACTTTGATGGTCAATTATTTTAAATTGCCAATACAGATACCTTGTACAAAATAAGAATGAAGTTTTCCTCTACCTTAAGGCTGAACTCTATTGGATTAATTTGAAGTGGCTTCTTGACCCCAAGAAACTTAAAACTTACAGTGTAACCAGATATATTGGAAGTGGCTTACCCATCTGTTTTATGCATCATTCCAATTGTCCAGTTAAAGATTGTGCAGTGCGAGCACTAAACAAGGTAGCCAAACAAAACATGTAAATGCAATTTGTTAATTTGACTTGACTTTGAACCATTTCCTCTCTTGGCACACTTAGACACACAACCAAAGTTCTATGGTTTGCATGATTATGACTATATTACTGGTGTACAAGGTCATAGTACCAAATTGTTCTCCTATTTTGAATTGTTTTATGGGACAGATGCATATTGCCTTTGTCTCATTCAATTTGCACATATGCCACAGAATAAATGCATAATTGCAAATGTAGCACTGCAATTGCATGTAATTGAATACACTTCTATCATAACATGTGGCATTTGGGTAGAGTTTCTTTACTATGAGAAAGACTCAAATGCCCCATACCATGCATAGCTTGAATTTAGATCCAGGAAATTGTTCCGGCATTTTTCATCATGGGATGCATACAACCTTGTCCATTATTATAGAGTGAAGCTGCAATCTCAAATAAATACAATCACCCAGATGATGCTTAAAATATTAGCCACATTGCTTATTATTAAATTGCCAGTTATTCTTTGTAAATGAGTTCATGGTAACGACCTCCAAAGCTTGGGATACCACTTGTATGTCCTCCAATGCCTGCACCTTTTGAAACAAAGCCCAATGTCTGAAGTAATAAACTCCCCTGAAGATGTTCGCATAAAATACATGTATGTCTTTTTATCAACAACAAATATCATTTCAACATAGCCATATAGAGCATAGAGCAGCTACCTGTAGATCATAGAGCATAGAGCAGCTACCTGAACCTAAAAATTCCTTTCCTTTGCTCATGTCCCACACCCAAAAGACAATCCACCAACATGTGCACAATACTTGTAGGTGGACTTGTACCTAGAGCAATCTGGAGTTCTGGAAAATGCGCCAAACTGATGTAGCAAAATGGCAACTGAAGAAAAGGTAGTGAATAGTTTCTTTGTGGTTGCAAAAGCAACACCCTCGCTTTCCATTTCAACACTTCTGACCACATTCGTGCAAACTGGACCTGTGGCACAGCAGAGCTCAAACAAGGCCTGTTTATTTCAGTGATGTACTCATCCATTTTTGGTAGGAAAAATTAGGCAATTCTTTTAGAGTTGAAGGCAATGCCAAAAACCTTCAAATAGTTTACATCATCCTGGATGGAAAGACCACTGACCACCCAACTCAAAGCCATTCCAGACAGTCCAGCAAATCAAAACACCAAACAGCCGGTAACTATACTAAACCAGGAACCAAAATACTAGCAGTCACAACCCCAAACCACCCTCACAGCAGATTAACCGAACGGGTGAATACCGCTTTGTCTTGCAGTTGCAGCCCCATCTGTTATGAAGGCAATCGCTCCAATAATATGCTGAATACTGAATTGATGTTTTAATTGCTGAAGTCTGTAGTCATGAAAGTATCTGCATATCCTTGATCAAAAAAGGATTCAATATTCACTAGCCACTACAATTTTTGCTAAATCCCTCACTGTGTCACTGACAATTTTGATTTGAGACAGAAGTTAGAGCCACAATGGATGGCATATCCATCCTCCCTTGAAATATTGTTTGCAGTGGCCTATAAGAAATTAATTATTCCTTGAACTAAACAAGTACTCTTGGTCTACTTATGTTTATTTTTTTTCTAGTCTACCCCAACTTGTTTGGGACTAAAAGGCTGTGTTGTTGTATTTGCTGGTTCCGATCTCAGGTATTGGCAAAGCAACAGATGGATCTTCTCACAGCAAAAGCATGGCTTATGGAGAATAAAGAGCTCGAGCGAAAGGTAATTTAATCCATTAAAGGCTAATTCTTATCTGTCTGTCGTGTCACTTTGTATGATAGGTTAGTTCTTTAATGAAATTATACACACCTTTTTCTCGAACACACAAGAGAGCTGTGTGCATCAGAAATGATACACAGCTGTCCTGTATATTAGAGAAAAAATATGCTAGAATCACATCAGCTAGTGGCTGAACACTGAAGGTCCTTAAATGAACACTGCAACCAAGATGCTGAAGTTTTAGTATGACTGTTGGTGCTCGTTTTAGGGCCGTGTTTAATGTCTATATTAAAAATAAATTCTTAAACTGTGAAAGAATCGCCAAAATCACGAGATGGATAACTCAATTTGTTAAGAGTTAAATGCACCTTAGGTCCATTAACTTTTGGTGGTGTGTCATCTAGGTCCATCAACTTTCAAACTGTATTTTTTGGTTCATTAACTTTTGGTGTTGTGTCCTCCAGGTCCATCAACTTTCAAACTGTATTTTTGGGTCCATTAATTTTTGGTGGTGTGTCATCCAGGTCCATCAACTTTTAAATTGCATTTTGGGTCTCTAAACTTTTTAACTGGTTCACTGTAGGTCCATACCCCTTCGTTTAGCGAATAGATCTGACATGGCACGCCAAAAAAACAGCCACTGTGGAGTACAGGACGAGATCACCATCCAGAATCTTCAATACGAAGAACCTGATGGGATCACCGTCTAGGGTTTCTCGAGCGACGGCTCGACGGGGAATAAACTCCACAATAAAATCCAGTATAATCTACCCGGTACAAGGCCGAAGGCCACAGGTATAGGCACACAAGCCATCTGACCCAAACAAAACTCGGACTCCACCAGCCCAACTAGGACCGATTGACCCTGAGTCCCTGATTCGGCTAACATGCATGGCACGTCCAAACGCAGCCACCAATTTGATTCACGTACACAGGTGCACGCAGGCACTAAAAGCTAGATGCTAGATAAAAGATCGTGTATCACAACTGGATAGGAAACTAATGCATGGAAATAATAAAATACTACGGCAAGGATGCTAATCACGTTGAGAAAATTCCATTGATGATATCCACCTCTTTAGAATTAGTACTCATGTATTTTATTGGCTTCATTTTCTCCTCCTTTCCACGCAATAATAAGGTACCTCTATAAAATATCTTTGATGACAGTCCAACAGTTGTAAATTTCTCCATGTCCACAATATATTTATCCTTAAAAATAATAGTTCCAAATTTAGGACCAGAGGATATTAACGAATTACCAGTTGCTACATTTGAATTATTGCTAGACAAGTCTCCATGAACATCTTGAGGAGCTATGGACTCATCACATACTCCACGGTGGCTGCTTATTTGGCGTGCCATGTCAGATCTATTCGCTAAACGAAGGGGTATGGACCTACGGTGAACTAGTTAAAAAGTTTAGTGACCCAAAAATGAAATTTAAAAGTTGATGGACCTGGATGACACATCACCAAAAGTTAATGAACTCAAAAATGCAGTTTGAAAGTTGATGGACTTGGATGACACACGACCAAAAGTTAATGGACAAAAAAATGCAGTTTGAAAGTTAATGGACCTAGATGACACACCACCAAAAGTTAATGGACCTACGGTGCATTTAACTCATTTGTTAATTTACGAGTCATTAACAAAATTATCTCTTTTGGTGATGTTTTTGACAAGCCTCGCATTTACCTATGAAACAAGCATATCGCATGGTAGAGCTAGGGTTCCTACCGGAGTTGCTGCGGAGGTTGTAGGGATGGAAGAGGAGAGGACGAGGTCTGACTCGGCGCTGGCGAGGAGCCGTGGCGACGAGAGGGCGGCGGCGGCTGCTGCTGCAGCCCTAGGCGTGCGTGTAGAGGATAGGGAGCAGGAGGCTCACGAGATGACCGGCGTTCAGTACGTTAGGCGCTGGCGCACAGGTGGCTAGGAGGCCGGCGCACAGGGGCTATGAGGCGCCTGGATTAGATGGGCTAATGGCCCAATTATATCTTTATTTGCTATTTCCCTCAATAGGATATTTATTTCTTAAAATAGGATTTTATAGAGGCTATATATATATATATATATATATATATATATATATATATATATATATATATATTGTAAACAATTATTGGAGAGGGAAGCAAGGCAAACATTATTTGCCTAGCCTCAAGGGCCATCTCGTGAGCCTCATGCTCCCTGTCCTATACACGCACGCCTAGGGCTGCAGCAGTAGCCGCCGCCGCCCTCTCGTCGCCGCGGCTCCTCGCCGTTGCCGAGAGATCAGACCTCGTCCTCTCCTCTTCCATCCCTACAACCTCCGCAGCAACTCCGGTAGGAACCCTAGCTCTACCAATCTGGTATCGGCAATGTCAGGTCCTCCGGTCACCACCACGTCGCTTACTTCCTCCACTGCACCGCCGCCCACCCCACCCTCCATCGTCGCTCCGTCCACTTCAGCGTCGGATCCTATGGCCAAGGCCCTAGCGGATTTGGCGTGTACGGTCGCTGACCTCTCGTCTCGGTTCGCCAACATGGAGGCCCGGATCACGCCGGCGCCGTCGCTTGCTGCCTCCCTGCCTCCGGTGTTTCCTTATGGGATGCCGGGGTACGGCACGACGACCCTGTCCTTGCCGGGCGCGTCACCAACCAAGCCACTTCCGATCCATCAGATTCCCATGCCGCCTTCTCCATCGTCGCTGCCCTCCTACATCATGGCATCGACAGTGGCCCCGATGTATACCATGGCAGGTGCCTCGCCAAACCCGGCCACGACAGCAGCCTCTAGCCAGGCGGGCTCGAGTCACCAGCAGTCCGTTGGCTTCGTCGGCGGGCTGGGCACGGACGCCCAGTTCACCGCTGGCGTCAACCCCACCCTCCAGTGGGAGGCTCCTGCCCCAAGCGCAGGGCAGGGCATGGCGCCCCCACGCTATTACAAGCTGGAGTTCACCATCTACGACGGCGCCGAAGATCCCTAAATTGGCTCAATCACTGTGAGCAGTTTTTTAGGGGCCAACGTACCCTCGCGGCGGATCGTGTCTAGCTCGCCTCGTACCATCTGGTCGGCGTAGCCCAGACTTGGTACTACGTCCTGGAGCAAGATGAGGGCATGCCGACTTGGGATCGCTTCAAGGAGCTGTGCAACCTTCGCTTCGGGCCGACAGTTAGTGGCACCCACTTGTCCGAACTTGCTTGGTTGACCTTCCTGTCAACGGTCCAGGAGTACGCCGAACACTTCAACGCGGTGCTGTGCCATGCCCGCAACTTGTCGCCGCTCCAGAAGGTGGAGCTGTTCGTGGGCGGTCTTTCGGAGCACATCAAGGTGGTCGTGGAGCTGCACGAGCCGCAGGACCTCCAGCGGGCGATACATCTCGCTAGGGCCTATGATGAGCCGTCTGCTGCAACCCATGACGCCACCGCCCTCAAAGACACGCTGGGCGCGACTCAAGAACGCCTGGGTCTCGCAAACTTTTGCCAAGCATTGCCGCAGGCTGCCCTCGAGCGCGCGGCCTCAGAGTCTGTGTGCGCGCCGCTGCGCCGACCTCGGCGAAGTCTCGCCGTCTGCTTGCTGCCGCACCGCCGAACAGCTCGCTCGGCCAAGCGTCAAGGCCTATGCTACAATTGCGATGAGCCCTATGTCCGTGGCCACCAATGCCAGCGTCTCTTCTACCTAGAGTCCGCCGACTACCTCAACGACGACGTTCCTGCAGAGGTGGCGGCCCTTGCTGCCGTTCCTGAGGAGGCAGCCAACTCATCAGCGCTTGTAGAGGCTGCAACCCCTCCGACGGTCTCCCTCTACGCCATCGCGGGCATCCGGATGGAGAATGCCATGCACCTACATGTCTACGTCCACGGCCACCGCCTTCTGGCGCTTCTCGACTCCGGCTCCACGCACAACTTCATCGACACCGGCCTCATGCGTCGACTTCGCCAGTCCACAGCACCGCACCCCACCATGCGGACCTTGGTGGCCAACGTGGACCGTGTCCCTTGTCAAGGGGTCGCCCGTGACGTGGCATTGGCCATTGGCACCGAGGAGTTCTCCATCAACTGCTTCGGCATCGACCTCGGTGGCTTCGACGTCATCCTTAGCGTCGGCTTCCTCCGTACGCTTGGTCCCATCCTCTGGGACTTCGAAGACCTGTGCATGGCCTTCACGCGAGGCTCTTGGCGCATCCTGTGGAAGGGCCTCGGCTCCCCTCGCGACGACATACGGGAGCCGGCGTCTCGCGCGGTGGCTGTAGCGCCTGACCAGCCCTTGCTGGACCGTCTACTCCGCCAGTTCGATGACGTATTCGCAGAGCCGTGCGGCCTGCCTCCAGCACACCCCTACGACCACCGCATCCACCTGCTGCCCGGGACCGCACCCGCCGCTGTCCGGCCGTACCACTACCCGCAGCTCCAGAAGGATGAGTTGGAGCGCCAGTGCGAGGCCATGCTAACGCAGGGTGTCATTCGGCCCAACACGTCGGCGTTCTTCGTCCCTGTTCTCCTGGTGTGGAAGGCCGATAGTACTTGGCGCTTCTGCATCGACTACCGGGCACTCAACGACAAGACCTCCAAGGACAAGTTCCCCATTCCGGTGGTCGATGAGCTCCTCGACGAGCTTCATTGTGCACGTTCTTCACCAAGCTCGACCTCTACTCGGGCTACCACCAGGTGCGCATGCACCCGGCGGATGTTGAAAAGACAGCATTCCGCACGCACCATGGCCACTTCGAGTTTCTCGTGATGCCGTTCGGGCTCTGCAACACGCCGGCCACCTTCCAGGCGCTGATGAATGACGTCCTTCGCCCATTTTTGCGCAGGTTCGTGCTTGTCTTTTACGATGACATATTGATCTACAACTCGTCGTGGGCTGAACATCTCCAGCACGTCCACCTCGTCCTCGACACGCTTCGGGCGCACCGACTGCACCTCAAGCGGTCGAAGTGCTCCTTCGGGGCGCCTTCGGTCGCTTATCTCGACCACGTCATCTCCGGAGACGGCGTTGCCATGGACGGTGACAAGGTGGCCGCCGTCATGACATGGCCACCTCCGTGATCAGCTCACGGGTTACGCGGGTTCCTCGGCCTCGCGGGCTACTACCGCAAGTTCATCCGCGACTTTGGCACGATCGCTGCACCGCTCACCCGCCTCTTGCGCAAGGATGTGTTTTCTTGGTTAGAGGAGGCTGAGACCGCGTTTGAGGTGCTTAAGCGCGCCTTGTCCTCAGGGCCGGTCCTCTAGGTTCCGGATTTTGACAGGCCGTTCATCGTCGACTGCGATGCCTCGCTGGCTTCGGGGCTGTCTTCCACCAAGATGAGGGGCTGCTCGCCTTCTTTAGCCGACCCTTCGCCGCGCGCCACCTCAAGTTGGCGCATACGAGCGGGAGCTGATCGGCCTTGTATAGGCTGTTCGGCACTAGCGTCCCTACCTCTGGGGTCGGCACTTCCTCGTTCGTACCGACCACTTCGCGCTGAAGTTCCTGCTCGATCAGCGCCTCTCCACCGTGCCGCAGCACTAGTGGATCAGCAAGCTCTTTGGCTTCGACTTTGCCGTCGAGTACCGTCCGGGGCGCTTGAACACGGTGGCCGACACGCTGTCCCGTCGCGACTTCGACGCCGTGGGTACCCCTGAGGCCTTGGCGATCGCCCTCTTGGGGTCCTCCTTCAGCTTCCTGGATGACATTCGCGCTGCCACTACTTCTGCCGTCGATGCTTGCCGTCTCCGTCAACGGCTTCAGGACGGTGAGCTCGCCGAGCCGTGGCGCCTGGCCGAGGGCCTCCTACTGCATGGCTCGTGCATTTACATACCGGCCGACGGCGATCTGCGCCACCAGGCCATTGCCTTGGCGCACACGGCTGGTCATGAGGGCGTACAGAAGACGCTGCAGCGCCTCCGTGGCGACTTCTTCATCCCCGGCGACCGTTCCTTTGTGCAGGATTTTGTTCGTACCTGCAGCACGTGCCAGCGCAACAAGACGGAGACATTGCAGCCAGCCGGCCTGCTGCAGACCCTTGATGTGCCATCCCAGGTGTGAGGCTGACATTTTGATGGACTTCGTCGAGGGCCTGCCCAAGGTCCATGGCAAGTTCGTCATCCTCACGGTGGTCGATCGCTTCTCCAAATATGCGCACTTCATCGCCCTCGGCCACCCCTACACCACTACGTTTGTCGCCCGTGCGTTCTTCGAGGGGATTGTCCGCCTACACGGCTTTCCTTCCTCCATCGTCAGCGACAGGGATCTAGTCTTCACGCGTCATGTGTGGCGCGACCTCTTCAAGATGGCAGGCGTCACGCTCCGTATGAGTACGACCTTCCATCCGCAGACGGATGGTCAGTTCGAGGTCGTCAACAAGGTGCTTGCCATGTACCTGCGCTGCGTCACCGGTGACTGCCCGCGCATGTGGGTGGACTGGCTGCCATGGGCGGAATATTGCTACAACACCTCCTTCCACACCGCCCTGCGTACGACGCCGTTCCAGGTGGTCTATGGGAGGTCTCCACCGCCCCTGCTGCCCTACACGGCGGGAGCCTCCCGCTTGGAGGTCGTCGACAACCTCCTTCGCGAGCGTGATGAGTTCTTGGCCGAAGTCCGAGAACGCCTTCTCCAAGCTGAGCAGATTTCCAAACGCTACTACGACGCCAACCACCGCGATTTGGAGTTTGCGGTGGGCGATTGGGTCTGGCTGCGCCTCCTCCACCGACCGACGCGCACGCTGGATCCTCGCGCCAAGGGGAAGCTCGGCCCCCGCTACGCTGGTCCGTTCCAGGTCCTGGAACGCGTTGGCAAGGTGGCCTATCGGTTCCAGCTTCCGGAGGGCTCCCGTCTGCACGACGTCTTCCACGTGGGGTTACTGAAGCCTCACCGCGGGGACGCCCCAGCTGCTCCAGGGCCTGTGCCTCCTACATATGATGGATGTCTCCTCCCTGCTCCACCACGTGTCCTGCGCGCTCAACTTCGGCGAGATGTTTGGCACGTCCTCGTCCAGTGGCATGGCATGACTGAAGAGGACGCCACTTGGGAGCCGCTCCAGGAGTTCCAAGACCTCTACCCGGATTTTCAGCTGGAGGACGAGCTGTTTCTCCAGGTGGGGAGAGATGTTATGACCGGCGTCCAGTACGTTAGGCGCCGGCGCACAGGTGGCTAGGAGGCCGGCGCACAGGGGCTATGAGGCTCTTGGATTAGATGGGCTAATGGCCCAGTTATCTTTATTTGCTATTTCGCTCAATAGGATATTTATTTCTTAAAATAGAATTTTATAGAGAGGCTATATATATATATATATATATATATATATATATATATATATATATATATATATATATATATATATATATATATATATATATATATCTTGTAAACAATTATTGAAGAGGAAAGCATCGATAGGATATGTTTGCCTTGCTTCCCTCTCCAATAATTGTTTACAAGATATATATATAGCCTCTCTATAAAATACTGTTTTAAGAAATAAATATCCTATTGAGGGAGATAGCAAATAAAGATAACTGGGCCGTTAGCCCATCTAATCCAGGCGCCTCATAGCCCCTGTGCGCCGGCCTCCTAGCCACCTGTGCGCTGGCGCCTAACGTACTGGACGCCGGTCATAACATCGCATGTGACACTGGAAGAAAGAATTGTCTCAAATTGCGCTCATAGTTTTATACATTGCTTTCTTTTCTGCCATTGCCTTTTGTAAGGTATTACTAGTACTGAACTACTGATCCTTTGTGATAGTAGTCCTTGCAATCAAGTATCGTGATGTTACAACTTTGTCACTACTGTATCGTTTAGCTGTTTTCTATTTTTTTTCCCTTGTCAAGAGTGAAATAACCACCACTGCATTACAACTAGAACCGTTATACATCGTGGCTACTTTCTGCCAACATTTAGGGTTTCTGCAGTCTATTTCTGTGCACATAATAACAATAGTTTTTTTTATAACATTATATCCTCTCTGCTCTAACTTACAGGTTGTGAAATTAAGCATACAAAATAGCCTTCCTTCTGAGTACACACGCATGGTACTACTTCAAACCAGCTTGGACAAAATAGATCCAGCACAACAGGTCGATTTTTTTTCCCAACAAAGCTTATATTTCTATAATAACTAAATTTTGGTTTATCGTCAATCCAAGCTAATGAAGACTGTAAACTCTAAGATCAGAGCAACAGGGCCATACAGAAGGCAACACATCTTTGAATATTCATGTTCTTTTTTGTTTCTTCAACATTTTCATTGGTCCATTTGGAAATATGGACTTTAATATCTTACATGAAAGTACATTCTCCCAAGAGTTTCAGAGACAACTTTTATACCGAGACTCAAAGCACACTGCTTGCACCAATATATGATGGTTTACGCTAGCCAAAATATGTATTTAATGTTGGCCCCTGGGATCCTTGCACAGGTAAGCAATTAGCTTACCAGCACACCCACACACTCACTTTGGCTAGAGGTAGAAGAAGAGGTGAGCACAGCACACACACTGCTCGGGCTGCAGCAGCAGCTCTGAAACTCTGAATGTGGCAACTGAACTGCCCTTTTCCATTTGCATTGAGGTAGTATATATACAACTACATGTACCTTTACCAGGTACACTGAGGTATGGCTGAGTACATCCCCAACTACTCCTAGTACTAGCAGTACAATGCTTAGATCAGCCCACTACCAAGACATGGCTGATATATTAGCTACCAACTAATGTACTAAAGGTGACCTATTGTCATACTGCTACAGCAGCAGAGACTGGACAGCCGAGCTGACCAGCTTGATCTCCTAATCTGCAGCAGAGAGATTTGGGGAGCAGCAGATTATGTCTTACATTTAAACTAGAAAGCCGCCACAATCTGTGACTAATATTGCTGTATTTGATCAGGCGAAGAATAAACCAACGAAACAAAGCAGCCCAGATGAGCTACCAGCGATGCCGCTTGGTGGCCTAGCACTGGGATTTGGTGATGTTGCGGCAACAAGGCAGAACCTGACAACAGGATTCGGAGACATGAAAGCGCCGGAGAAGTTTGTGATATTCGAGAAGGCCGTTGGCTGCTGCAGCCGCGTGGCGGATTGCTGTTGCTGCATGTGCTTCATCAAGGCGTGCAGCAAGATGAACGACCAGTGCGCCATTGTCATGGCGCAGGCCTGCGCTGCCCTCGCGTGTCTGGGATGCTTCGAGTGCTGCTCAGAGCTGTGCTGCGGCGGGCCGAACTGAGGGCACATGAGCAAGTTTGTGAGATTCTGTTGTATATATAGTAATGTAAATACTTCCATTATTTAATGTATAGAATAGGCATCACGTGTTTATCTAACTTGACTCGATCAATAAAAAGCATCTGTCTTCCGTATGTACATCTTTCAAGAATGAACTATATACAAGTTGTATGCAACGTCGATATAATTCTAATCACTGTATTAGGAGACAGGATGGTTTAATCCCAGACAGCATGTTCGTTTCGGCTTATTTGCTCGTATCTGGCTTATAATGTTAGGCCCTGGGCGACGATGTACGGCGTCGGGAACAAAGGCTCTCGCCGGGACACAGAGAAAACTGCAAGAACTCACACACACGAACTCATGGAGACAGTGAACGCAGAGAATTTTGTGCTGCTCAATGAACCGCAGCTTTTCGTGGTTTTCTTCTCCTTTTATTTAACGAACATGCAGAGCTCTGGCGATGCCCGCACGACGCGCGCACGACGCGTCCATCCCCACGTCCGCGGCGTGCGTGCACCGCTCGGCGCCCAGGTTGTGCGCGAGTTAATCTCGCTGTCCACTACCTCCTATTTGCGCGGCCACCACAACTCGGCGCTCGCGCATGCAACTGAAGCAAAAAAATAAACGTGCAGTGCAATGCCTATTTACAGTATGCAGCTACATGGCTTATGTATGCTAACAAATCTCCTCCTAAGCCATGTATCCTACTTAATCTTCACAAGACCAATCCTGGCACGCAACTCACAGAAGTGCTCCCGAGACAAAGCCTTGGTCATGATGTCCGCCAGCTGCTCAGCGGTGCCAACAGGAGCAACGCTCACCCTGCCCTCCTCGACACACTCTCGGATGAAGTGGAACCTCACATCAATGTGTTTATCGCGGTCGTGGAAAACGGGTTCTTCTTGAGCGCGATGGTCGATCGATTGTCGATGAAGATCGTGGACGCTCCCTCTTGCTTGCCCTTCAGCCGCCGAAAGCGACGCGCGCCAGACCACACTCCTTGGCAAGCCGCAGTAGTCCTCGCTATGTACTCGCCCGCATGAAGACAGAGCGACGACCTTCGCTCGGCTTTGCCAAGTGATGATGTTGTCGCCGAGGAAGAAGATGACGCCGGTGGTACTCTTCCTGGTGTCCGTGTCGCCGGCAAGATCACTATCGCTGAACCCGATCAGCTCAGCCTCTTCGCTCGCTTCACGGTGTATCGGCGGCCGTAGTCAAGTGTCCCGGCGACATAGCGCAGGATTCTCTTCACGGTTGCAAAGTGTGCTCGGTCGTCGGCTCCTCCATAAACTGCTCGCCACATAGCCAACCGAGTAGGCTAGGTCGGCCTAGTATTAACCAAATACCGCAGTGAGCCCACGATACTTACAGACGCGCCGTTTGATCGACAATGGGCGCCGTGCTCTTCTTGCTCGGCTTCAGCGCGGCTCCATGGGGATCGGACCGGTGTTACTGACCGTCGTCGACCCTGCGTTCGCAGGATCTTGGTGCAGTCGTGCTCGCCCCAAGGTGATGCCTTGCGGCGTTTGGGGACACCTCGAGACCGAGATAGTAATGCTGCAGTCCCAAATCACTCATCCGAACGTTCCCTTCATCTGCGACTTGAACTTGTCGATGTCGCCGGTGTCGCCGCCCGTGATCACCGGTCGTCGACATACACCCCCACGACGAGGCGATGAACGCCCTCGCCGCGCAAGTACACGGCATGCTCTCGAAGTCGGCTGCGGCTGAAAACCAAGACCAAGAGAGCTGTCCATTTTGCATACCAGCGCGAGGAGCTTGTCGCAGACCGTCTGAGGCCTTCACCAAGCGCAGCAGACCTTGCGCGCCATGGCCCTTTAGGATGAAGCCCGGTGGCTGCTCGGCGAAAACCTCCTCCTGCTGCAGCTCGCGCCGTTGAGGAACGCAGATTTCACGTCCATGTGGTGGACGCCCATCCTCGTTGGCGGCGTGGCGAGAAGAAGACGGACACTCCAAAGCGCGCGCCATCGGCGCGAAACACCTCGTCAAAGTCCACGCCCGCTACGTGACGTAGCCCTTTCGCGACCAGCCGGGCCTTGTACTTGGAGATGAGCCCCGCTGCGTCCTTCTTGGCCTTGAACACCCACTTCGGTCCAATGGGTCGGAGCGAGGTGGAGAGTCGACGAGCTCCCACGTCCCGTTGGCTTCGATCGCCGTCATTTCGCCGAGCATCGCGTTGCGCGCAAAGACTCGTGTTGTTGCGCCTCATCGAAAAGAGCTTGGCTCGGCATCACTAGCCAGCAAGAGCTGCTCCTCCAAGTCCGGTGTGCGGTCCGGTGTAGGGGCTGACCGAGGATGTTCTCAACCCGCGAAAGCGGAGAGGGCGTCATCGCATCGGCGCCGAGGTGGATGTCCCCGCTGCTCGGTGGAGTGGCGAACTCCATCGCCCGCCCAGCAGCTTTCAGGCTTTGGCGTGTGCGGGTCGAAGGCGCGACGTCGTGGTACTGCGCGAGAGCTCGACGTGGAGGTGCTTGCGGTGTTGGGGCGTATAGGCGTGTTCGTCTGACACACCGTGACTACACGAGGCAGCTCGGTGTCACCTCCTCGCGACGAAGTCATCGATCGCCGCCTGGGATCTCATCATCCCAGCTCGGCAGGCGCCCTCGTCGCCGAACACGACGTCGCTGGGCCGATATGGACTCGCCGTGACACCTTTGGATCGTGAGAGACGGTAAGCCTTGGAGCCGAGGATCGCACCCGACGAAGATGGTGCGCCGACTCCGGTCATCGAGCTTGGGGTTCGGGCGCCGTGAGCTTCATGTGGGCGATGCATCCGAACGCGGCGCAGTCTTTGAACACCCGGCGCACTGCCCGTCCACAGCTGGTAAGGAGTCTTTCCACCAATGCTTTTGGACGACGATCTGTTGAGAAGGTAGACCGCCGTTGACACCGCGCCGCCCAGAAGACTCTGTGGAGCCGCTTGGCCTTCAACATGCGTGGCGGTGCCGACCACGATGGTTTCGGCGTTCCACCACTCCGTTCTGGCCGAGAGTGGGCGCCGTGAGTTCACGCCGGAGGCCGATGTCGGTGCAATACTGTTCGAACGCCGCAGACAGGAACTCGCCACCACGGTCCGTCCGGAGGGCTTGAACGCGCTTCCCAGTCTTGCGCTCTGGCGCGGCTTGAACGCGCTTGATCGCCGCGGCCGCCTCGTCCTTGGAAGGCAGCAGGGCTATCCACATGTACCGTGTGTAGTCGCCGTCGAAGCAAAGCAAGAAGTAGCGGTTGCCGCCGGAGTTGGTGGAGAGATGGGCCCGCAGAGGTCCCCATGGAGGAGCTGGAGCGCCTGCGGAACGCGCGCAGAGCGCGCACGGAACGGCGTCCGCCGGTGCTTGCTTGCCGAGCCGAGGCACGCGTCGCAGAAAGCTGGTCGACGTGGTCAAAGAAGCGGCATCGCGCGCGCACGAGCTTGTCACGCCCCATCTTTTCGAAGCGCGCGAAATTGACATGCCCATAGCGGGCGTGCGAGCGGGGTCCTCCGCGCGTCTTGCCGCCAGCTGGCTGTGTCGCGCGATCTCGGTGTCGAGGATGTACAACCGGCTTGGGCTGCGGTGGACCTTAGCAAGTAGGCGGCGATCCTCATCTCGAATCCTCAAGACCCCGCCGACAAGCACACGAAAACCAATCTCATCAAGCTGCCCAACACTGATAATGTTGGCAGTCAGACAGGGGATGTAGTAGACGTTGGCGAGCGTGCGGTGCTCCCCGTTCTTGCACGCAAAGAGGATGGTGCCTCGGCCTTCGATCTTGGCGACCGACCCGTCGCCAAAGCGGATGAGCCTACCACGCCCGATGTCGAGATCGGAGAATGCCGAGCGGACGCCGGTCATATGGTTGGTGGCGCCGGTATCCAGGACCCAGCGCTTCGGGTCCCGGTCCTCCTCCGAGCTGGCTGCGACGAAGACCTTGGCTTCCAGAAGCTTGAGCGGCGGTGCCGCGGCAGGGACGGATTTACCGGCGACGGTGAGGCTTGGTGGCGGCGCGAGGGGGAACGACTCGTCTGACTCGCCCTCAAGTAGCCCGTAGGCAAACATGAGAGTGGGCTCATCATCCTGGGTCACGTGGGCCTCAGCTTCTGTCTTCAGCTTCGTGCGACAGTCCGGGGCCCAATGTCCCATCCTGCCACAACGCTTGCAAATGTCATCTGGCCCGGCTCGCGACTTGTTGTTGCTGTTCGCTCCGTTGGCGCTGCCACTGGACGCGCCGCGCGCTTCGCCACCGTTCCTGCGTCCGCGTGGCTTGCCGCGGCCCCTGCCTCGTCCGCCGGAACTTGAACCTCCGCGTGACGACTCCTTCTTCTTGTATCTCTCCAGCCACTGCTCCTCCGTAAGGAGTAGCTTGCCGCTGGCAGCTTGTGGAGGAGCCGGATCAACGACGTTGTCGGCCGCCTTCAATCTTCCGGTAACCTCCTCGATCGACAACTGCGATATATCCAGCAGAGTCTCGATTGAAACAACGAGCTGCTTGTACCTGGGACGAACGACCCGTAGATACTTGGCGACGACTTTAGGCTCCGGCTCGGGATCTCCCAGGGACCCCAGCCGCTGAACCACGCCGGTGAGGCGGAGCGCGAAATCCTCAATCGCCTCGCCGTCCCTCAGCTTGATGTTTTCGTACTCAGCACGCAGATTTTGCGCCGTCGCCTTCCGCACGCGGTCGTCGCCGATGCGGAACGTGCGGATGGCCTCCCACGCCTCCTTGGCGGTGTTCTTGGTGGCGAGCGCCGGCACCATCTCCTCCGGGACGGCGCTGCAGATCGCGTCCAGCGCGCGCCGGTCGTCGTCGTACTCTACGTCGTCGAACTCGACGGCGTCCCAGATGTGACGCGCCTGCATCTTCAGCCTCATGCGCAGCGCCCACTCGTTGTAGTTGGTTCGCGTCAGCTGTGGCCAGTTGCCTGAACCGCCACCCTCGTGGATGACGCGCTCGACGATGACTTCCCGGGGACGACGTGCGTCCCGGGTGCGCGAACGACGTGCGTCGCGCGAACGGCGCGGTGGAGAGCGACGTGGTGACGGCGAGCGCGGCGGCGTCTTGTTGCCGGAGCCGCTGGAGCCGTCAACCTGCTTCTTCTTAGCGTCCGGCGGGGTACGGCCTCGGGGTCGCGGTGGTGGTGAAGCCATGGCAGCCGCGATTCCCGCTCACCTAGCTCTGATGCCACTTGTTAGGCCCTGGGCGACGATGTACGGCGTCGGGAACAAAGGCTCTCGCCGGGACACAGAGAAAACTGCAAGAACTCACACACACGAACTCATGGAGACAGTGAACGCAGAGAATTTTGTGCTGCTCAATGAACCGCAGCTTTTCGTGGTTTTCTTCTCCTTTTATTTAACGAACATGCAGAGCTCTGGCGATGCCCGCACGACGCGCGCACGACGCGTCCATCCCCACGTCCGCGGCGTGCGTGCACCGCTCGGCGCCCAGGTTGTGCGCGAGTTAATCTCGCTGTCCACTACCTCCTATTTGCGCGGCCACCACAACTCGGCGCTCGCGCATGCAACTGAAGCAAAAAAATAAACGTGCAGTGCAATGCCTATTTACAGTATGCAGCTACATGGCTTATGTATGCTAACATATAATCCACGGCTTGGACAATATTTTTCTCTTACACCAAACCAGCCAGTAATACTTTCAGCCATGACTTATAAGCCAATTCAGCCGAAACGAACAGGCCGATACGAGTGAGCACTACACATTTTACTTTCGTTAGCTTTATGGAATTCTTCAGATGCTTTGGGTGAGCACTACACGTCATCGTCCTTCTCTGTTCTTTTGATTTCCACATCAGTCTCAACCACGGCAGTTTCACCTTCCTTGCCACTATCTTGCACCTTCTGTTCGACTTCAACCTCTGCGTTGACTGCAACAGGTTTGCCATCCACAACATTCTCAGTGATGTGCTCCTCCACATCAACTTCAGGTTCTTTCTTGTCCCCTGGCTTCAGCGAGATATGATGGAACTTATCCTGAATCTTCCCAACTCCTTTCTCGACACCTTTCTCCACAGGTCCAATCGCTTGCAAGATTGTAAGGGCAACATCCTTGACAACCTGAAGAAGTAGCCAGTAGTATAATTATGTTAAACATGAAGAATTCTGAATTAAGGTGCCAAGCTATTGAAATTCAGAAGCCATCAGTTTACATGTTGGCCGCCAACGAGGACAACATCCTGCACGCTCTCCTTGATGCTTGTCCCTGGAGCTTCAACATGGGTCTCCTGCTGCTCAATGGTAGTTGGTGTACTGCTTGTATCATCGTTGACATCTAACTTTGCCTCCATTTTACTTTCCTCAAATGTGACTTCCCAATGATCAAGTACAGGGATGCGCTGGTACGGCTCCACAGTGAAGACATAGGCGTGCGCTGTAGCTGCGATAGCCATCTACCAGAAAGGGATTAGAGTTTTACCCTCAAGCAACGAGGAAAAGATGGTCCACCAGGAGGTGACAAGATTACCTCAATGCAAATGAGGAAGTCCTGTAGTGCATTCTGCACTTTTCCCTCTTTGGGCAGGAGTCCAGTTTGGCAAATGATTGCAATGCCAACTCCTTGCCACCAAGTGGCAAATACAATGGCCTTAAAGCTTATGAACTTGGCTAGTGGCCTTATTGCCTGTAGTTTTTCATGTGTTGCATTGTAAAATTTTACAAGACAATACAACGCCCATGTCTGGCTGAAATTTATGACAACTGCAATATAAGGATATCTGCATATAAAAGCATGACATGTTAGAAAACAACATAACAGCGAAACATAATTATTTGCACACAAAAAGAAGGAAAATACTGAAGAGTTCCTTTTTTGTTTAGTAGAAGATAGAAAGAAATTTATGAATCTGATGCAATAAAAAAAACTATATTTGGGTCTCCTCAAGCTCAGCTGTTTTACTAATTTCGATAACCAAAAAAGTGAAAAAGACAGATACCCGTAATTCCACTTGAATTCACCATCTCCATAGGCTCCAAAAAGCTCCAAGATCAACGCCAATAAAGCACATAGTGTCTTCAGAATCATCTGCAATTTTGTCAAACAAAGTTATGGCATGTCATTATCTGCCAGTGTCAGTTGAGGGAACATTTTCTCATTATAAAATAGCTCACATATTGCACAAGACCGAATTTTATAATCGTGTACAAGTTCTCTCCCAGAGCATTAGGGTCACAAAAGAAATTGTACACTCTGCTTCGGTTATGAGCTTGTGTCTTGTCTTGACTCTCTAGCAGCTGCTCGCTCAGCTCGTCCCCTTTTCTGTTCTCAAGCAAATGGAACACTTGTCTTTCCCCACCTGAAGTGTAATGTAACAACAAATGAGTGCAACGAATAATTCAGAGAGGGACTGAGTGGCAGCACAAATATGTAGCTGCTCATCACAAGATCACAATGAGTCCTGTAGAGAACGAAAAAGATCACAGCATGCTGGTGCAGATTATTCTGCAGTATTACCAAGGCAAGCGACCAAGTATCGTCCAAAGGCATACAGAGCAAAGGCTTCATAACAATTCCGCAATATATCACAAGCCAGAGAGAGCTTTGAATTCCACAGTGAAATTATCTGAAAAGAATCAAAAACTGGAATGGGATATCAATTCATGTCAGTACAAAAACTGCAAAGGCATTACAAGGAAAAAGGAGATCCTAAATCAATTGATAACCACACGTCCACACCAGTACTTGAAGCCAGTTAGTGTTCGTGAAGCAGTGATGAACTACACTAATATCTTCTCAAGAACTACTACTACTTGCAATAGCACTTCTCTGCCTCGATTGGGCATCAGAACAAGCGGAGCTAGCGCTTACAGATTCAGAGGCATAAACAGGCACCATGAACAGCACAGCTATGATCCACTTCTGCTCCTGCAGGATTTCAGCAGCAGGAGAGTACAATTGTTCAGCACGGATAACAACAAACAAGCCATAAACAACAGTTACACACCAGGGGGATCAGAACTTTTTCATGGAATGTAACGTGGCGTAAAACTAAAGACATCAGTTACTTACGGCTGGATCGTTGTAGGATCTGAGGTGCTGCAGGATGAGCCAGAGCGAGATGAGGAGCGCCACAAGCGCAAACGCGGCGCCAGTGAGCACCGCCGGGCCGTGGATGTTGCCGTACAACTCCCGGAAGCTAGAGAAGGATCCTCCGTCCGATGCCATCACTTCATCCCACATCCAATCCGAGGCTCTCTGCACTCTGCAGCAACGACTTCTCTTGGCTGCAGCACAGACAGCACAGGGGAGGGGAAGGGACTCAAGGGAGGACCTGAGTGACACTCGCGGAAGAAGTTGTTGGAAAAGAAAAACAATCAGCTGCAGATCAAGTACTCCGCCGCGCGGCAAATGAACTGAATCCGCGACGAGCTGGAGTGCCCGTACCAAAAATAAAAAAGAATTCTTTCTGTAGAAGGAGATCGACGAACAACGCCGCATCCACGGAAGCTAGGGTATCCTTACCAACGGCTACGGGAAAAGAGGAACCAATCGGAGGTGGGGCGGAGATCCCCGGTCCACCCCCACTGCAGCTGCAGGGATGGAGGAGGACACGACGGCGGCGAGAAGGAAGGAGTGAAGGACGCCTGGCTCGGGATGGACACGTGCAGCACTCCGCGCGCGGGACAGTGGCCACGCCGGAAAAACGGTCGGATCGGATACGTCGAGAGCTGACCCATTCCGTTCCGCATCGTAATCGTAACTCTGCTGTTTTACGAAGGTTCAGTCCGCCTGCAAAGTATTAATGGCTGACTTATAACTCTACTAGTAGTCTAGTACCAAGACAACCTGCTCCTCCTTTAGTCAATGACTTTAGGCCCGTTTGACTTCTGAATTGTCCAATGAAAATTATCAGAAAGCTTCTTGCTAACAGGTTACACGTTTACATCATGCGACTTGTGTTCATCAAAATTAATATGGTTGCATTAAATCAAGGACTATACAAGATTGCCTTGCTTGGCCTTTTGATTACCTTCACCTTTGTCATCACTCCATGAAAGAACTTGCCATTCTTAAGCTCGACTTTGAGAAGACATGTGACAAGGTTGAGCATGAGGCTATGATACAGATCATGTTGGCCAAAAGTTTTGGACCCAAGTGGATGAGATGGATGAAAATAATTTTTTTTTGGATTCGACACTTTTCTATTCTTCTCAATGGAACACTTGGAAAAACCTTTTATTGTAGAAGAGGAGTAAGACAAAGGGTCTCTTTATAGTTTTTCAAATGGGCCAGGCCCGATGGGCCGACACGGGCCCGGCCCTAAAAAGCACGGCACTAGCCCGGCCCGGCCCGCTAGGCATCGTGCCCGTGCCTGGCACGGCCCGCAGCCGTGCCCATGCTTGGGCCGCACATTCGGCCCATGGGCCAGCACGAGGCACGGCACGAAAAAAGGCCTGGCCCGGCATCGGCACGGCTTCGAGCCATCATGGCCGTTGGATCCCCCGACCCCTACGATTCTAGCCGTTGGATTCCACCGTTGGGGTGGGGGTGTATATAAGCAGCGTCGTCAGCCGGCTCCCCCTCGCACCCCAAACCCTAAATCATTCTCGCCCTCCCCCGCCGCGCTCTCCTCTCGCTCTCTCTGGCTCTCCTCTCCGATTCCGACGGCGCGGGACGACTCCGACGGGCGACGGCGACCCGCCGCCGTCCCCACCTCTTCTTCTCGCCCTACGGCAGCTCCGGGGCTCCGAAGATGCAGGTAAGAGCACTCATCTTCTTCTTCTTCTCGCGCCTCCGGCAGCTCTGGCACGGAAGATGCTTCTCTTCCTGATCTTTTTCTTCTTCTTTCTTCAGATCCGCTGATTCACAGCTGCTCCGAGCTCCGTCTACGTCGCCGGCGTCGTTGAGGTAAGAATCCGCAGTAAACCCTAACCCTAACCGTTCTTGTTCTTTCTTTAGTTCTTGATCTTGACCGTCTTCTTCTTCTTGTTCTTGAATCTTGATCTAATGATCTACTTCTTCTTGCTCATGTGCACTTGTGCAGCCGTTTGAGGCCAGTGGCGATGCCTCCCCGGCCCCCCTCTGAAGAGACAGTCGAGGCTGCCTTGTCTGCGTACCATGAGGAGTCCGAGAGGTTGCGCGAGCTCCCTGGAGAAGACGAAGACGACGACATGGGCGACGAGGAGGTAGAAGAGCTCTTCGGTCGTGGATCTGGAGGTGGAGCCGATGATCCGATCGACGTTGAAGGTGGTGATGGAGCAGAGGACCAAGGCGACGAACAAGATGAGAACGCCGACGACCAGGTATCACGTCCCTATACCTCTGATGTGTGGCTTGACTTCAAGAAGCTGTTCAAGATGGGCCCCAAAGGTAAGAATGTCAGGTATGGCGCTGTCTGCATCCATTGCAAAAAGCAGTATTCTGGTAGATCTGCAATTGGCACTGGCCACCTCCGTCGTCACAGGGATAAATGTGCTGTTAGGCGAGAGAAAACTAGGAGCTTTAGTCAGTCTTAGATCTCTTTTAATCCTGATGGTTCTATGCGTAATTGGGATTACTGTCCTATACATGCTCGTACTGAACTTTGTCGATTGCTTGCTAGGGTAGATGTTCCTATAAGCTTTGGTGAATCTGCCGCATTTGAGGAATACATCTGTAATGCTCATAATCCTAAGTTTCAGGCTGTCTCTACACAAACCACCACTAGAGACTTAGCCAAAATGTTTTCTGATAGAAAGGCTAAGCTTGTTGAGCTACTTGCTTCTGATTCTGTTAATTGTGTGTGCCTAACCTCTGATATATGGTCTGGCAAAGCCAAAGTGGACTACCTTAGTGTTGTTGCTCATTACATAAACCCTGATTGGCAACTAGAGAAGAGGGTGCTTGGTCTTGTGCTTATTGATTGTTCCCATAATGGATAGAATATTGCTGATAGAGTTGCATCTGTTCTTGGTGATTATGGTGTTGCTGAAAAAGTGTTTGCTGTTACTTTGGACAATGCTTCATCTAATGTTTCTGCCATGCAAAAACTTAGACCTGTTGTGTCTAAATATCTTGGTCTTGAGGTACCTATAGAGGATCGAAGACATCCTAAACCTGAATCTGCTGTTAGTACTATGTTCTTGCATCAACGTTGTGCATGCCATATAATCAACCTGATTGTCAAGGAGGCACTTAATTATCTTAAACCTTTGATTGAAGTTTTTAGAACTGCAATATCATTTTTAAACTCATCTAATCAGAGGATTGTAGCATACAAAAGACTTTGCATTGCAGCGGGTGTTAGGCCTAAAAAGTTTCAGTTGGACATGGATGTAAGGTGGAACTCTACATATCTAATGCTTAAGACTTTGCTTCCTCACAAAGATCCTTTCACTACTTTCATACATGCCAATTATCCTAAAGGTGAGAATAGTGAGTTGCTTCTAACTGAAGAACATTGGGCTGTTGCTGAAAAAGTATTTGTGTTTCTTGAACTGTTCTATGATGCTACTGTTGCATTGTCTGGTGTTTACTATCCTACATCTCCACTTATGCTTCATTATTTGGTTAAGATTGCTATACACCTGAACAATTATAGTAATGACATTCACCTGAGAAATGTGATTCAACCTATGATAGACAAATATAATAAATATTGGAGGGACATACCTTTGCTCTATTCTTTTGCATTCATCTTGGACCCTAGAGCTAAAATGAAGGGTTTTGCAAAAGTGTTGAGGAAGTTGATGAACCTTACCAAGATCTGATTCTGAAGTGCTTACAAAGTTGGCACTAGAGCTAGGCTTCTTGATGTTTTCAATAAGTATGAGGAGAAATATGGAGTCATTAGGTTGAGGAGGACTGTCCCTCAAAAACATGTCTCAGTAAGAAAAGGTCATTTGGGATGAAATTTATGATGATGATACACCTAGTCCTTCCGGTGGGGGTACTTCTTCTTTGCATTCCTCTCTTAATCTATCTAGAGATACATCTCTCATCGCTTTCTTTGCATGTTGCTACTTCTCTGACTTCTAATGCTTCTGAACTTGTCTCATACTTGGATTGTGACACTGTTAGCCAGTTGGATGATTCATTTGACATCTTGAAATGGTGGCATGAGCACAAACTGACATATCCAGTGCTATCCATCATGGCTAAAGATGTTTTAACTGTTCCTGTGTCTACCATATCTTCAGAATCTACGTTTAATATGACTGGTAGGATCATCGAGGAGCGGTGAAGGAGGCTGAAGCCGGAGACGGTGGAGTGGCTCACCCGCGTCAAGGACTGGGAGTTGGCGGAGGCAAGGCTGCAGCACAATATGGAGGACCCAGAGCTGGAGGAAACATTTGAAGAGCTTTATCTTGATTAGTGCCCCGGCCGCCAAGGTAAATCACAACCCTAACTTCCTCTTCTTCTTTTGCTAACTAATCAGTGCTCCTAATGTTAACTCTGTTCTTCTTTTGCAGCTGGCCAGCTGGGAGCTTGAACTTGAAGCTTGAAGCATATATTTATTAGTTTAGTCTTTACATTTAGCTTGAACTTGGCTCTGTAATATGAGAACTTGGACTTGGACAATGATGTAAGAACATTGAACTTTAATGGAGCTAGGCTGTACTCTTTTTCTGACTAGGGTTTCTCACAAGGGTGAGTTTTACCTAGCAGGTTTTTAATGAGGCAGCCATTGCACATGCTCCAAATATATTCCTATTTTCTTAACTTTGTGTGTTTGCTGTGTTTTCCTGACTAGTTGAGTTGTGCACTTGTGCTGATGAACTTGGGTTAAAAATGGAGAGAATTCCTTATTTGACACCAGGAAAATGAGTCGTTCCTTTCTTGGCCTTGAAATTTTCTTCGTTACTTATTTGACACTCACTTCAACTTTTATTCCTAATTTGACACTATAGTCAAATCCGTTTAGCTAAAAGATTAGCTTTGTGTTAGAAAAAGGCGTTTTGAGAGAAAAAAAAAAAACACGCCCGCCTCCGAAAGCAAATTTGAGAAAAAAAAAGGCGCAGGTTTTTTTCCTCTCAAATTTGCTTCTCGTTTTTTTTCTAGGGCAAAACGTCTTTTAATGTACCAATTAACAATTGTTAGCTAACGGATTTGACGGTAGTGTCAAATTATGGATGAAAGTTGAAGTGAGTGTCAAATAGGGAACGGAAAAAATTTCAAGGCCAAGAAAGGAACGATTCATTTTCCCAGTGTCAAATAAGGAATTCTCTCTTAAAAATGTATTAGTGCCTGGGCCAGCACGGGCACTGGCGTGCCACCGTGCCTGCTGGCACGGCACGGCACGATTTCCTCTCCATAGTGTCGTGCCTGGGCTGCCACTTAGGCACGATGGCACTAACAGGCACGGCACGGCGGGCCGCCGTGCCGCATAGTGCCGTGCCTCGCCGTGGCGTGCCGATGCCGTGCCCGTGCCGTGCCGTGCCAGGCGGCCCATTTGGAAAAGATTAGGTCTCTTTCCACTCCTTTTTGTTTTGGCTGCAGACCTCCTACAATAGGCAGACACAAGATTGATTTCCCAATTACCCAATATATAAACGATACTCTCATTATCATGAAAGCATGTGGAAGGGAGCTTTTTACTCTCAAAGCTTTACTCAACAACATTGCTAAATCAATAGGCCTAAGAGTAAATTATGCAAAGTCAATGATGACCCCATTAATGTTACTCCCGACAAATTAGAACTTCTCGCTGCTATGTTTGGATGTACCCCAAGGTACTCTGCCTTTTACTTACCTAGGTCTCCTGCTGGGCTTAACAAAACCACAGGTGATTAATTTTCTACCCCTTGTTACAAAATGTGAACAAAGACTTGTCTCCACTTTAGTTTTTCTTTCTCAAGTTGGGCGTCTTTCAATGCAGTTTTCTAATCTCTACCGGCCTTTTATATGTGCACCTTTAAACTGAATGTCACTATAATTGAGCAAATTGATAAATACCATAAGCACTGTCTTTGGCGTGGGGTAGATATAAACAACAAAACTCCCCCAAAAGTAGTATGGTCAATGGTTTGCACTCCAAAGCCTGAAGGTGGTCTAGGTGTTCTAAATCTAAGAACACAAAATGAAGCCCTTCTGTTGAAGCACCTCCATAAGTTTTTCAACAAGGTAGATACCCCCTGGGTTGCTTTGATTTGGGAAAAGCATTACACCAACAACAAACTCCCCAGTCACATTACGAAAAGACTCCTTTTGGTGGAGAGATACCTTGAGACTTTTAAACACTTATAAAGAGGCCGCCTCAATTATTGTTCGGAATGGTACAAGCGGGAGGACCTCTAGAATGACAGAGTTCTCAATCAATTTTATCCTGAATTGCACTCCTTTGCAAAGAATGATAAGGTTTCCATCTCCAAGGCAAAAAAAATCTAGATAGTCTACAGCTACTCTTCCATCTACCTTTGTCTATCACAGCCTTTCCACAACTACAAATTTTGTCTCTAGATCTTCAAAATCTCCACCTTACACAGGATAATGACAAGTGGACCTACATTTGGGGTTCAACAAACTTGTCAGTTGCCAAAGCATATAAAACTCTCTGTGGTCACTTACTAACATACCAAGCTGTAGCACCTTTGGTGTTACGAGCTCGTTTAGCACTGAGGTTATGGCCTGAGAAATAGATCTATAAATATAGTGAGTTAGTTACTTAAATGTGCTAATGAAAATCTTAATAAGAAAATAGGAGAAATAGTTTTAATTGTTTGGCATGAAAAGCAATTTCTGTAAACAAGAATAAAACATAACTTGCATTTAGTACTTGAATAAAAATTGAAGTACAAGTTTAGTAGATAGAAATGCAACATTAACTTTTGGGAAATAGATGTTGTTAACTAGTGTTGTGGGAGCTCAATGATCAAATAGGAAATTAAGATAAGCCTTTTCGTTAAGACGGCAAACACTTGAATTTATGTTTAAAATACCATTTTTGGCGAATCATATTGAGCGAATTAGTTAAATGGTGCTTATATATTTTGCTCCTGCGGGTTAGTATTAGGTATGGACTATGGCATGAAGTATTTGTTGGTTGAGGTTAGCAAGGTTTAGATCTATTAAAAATTACGACAAAAGAGTTAATGATTACTTAGTCCTAACTGAAAACCTTAACGTTTCTAAGTATGAAGGGTGGTAGACAATACTATTTTGGCATTTAATTTTTAACAAAAATGTTTAAACACTAGTTGCATGTTTTTTATTGTTGATTGCATTAAAGTGAGTGCTTTGTGATGGTATAGGTGTTGGTTTAGTCTTAACTTGGCTGGATTAGAAATTGGGCGCGCTTTAACATTCGTGCAGCGCATGATTCCGGTCACTTGGCCTGGTGTGCGCGGTCACCGCATGCTTTGGCACTCGCGGGCTACCTTGCCCGTCTTGTCGTCGCGCTGCGCGGGCCGAACACCGTGCTCAACTTGGCCGTGTGCCCGAGCAAGGCCATGTACTTAAATCACCTTGCTGTTTTTCTATTGAAAAATAAATAACGAAATACAATCGAAAATACACTTATACGTATCCTTTACCAGCATGCATCGTGAGCCGTTCATTTCACCTACCACGGCCTGCTCTGTCCTTGCGACCTTTCCGTCGTGGCCGCACATGCCGCGTCGCCCTGCCCTGCTCTGTCCTTGCGTCCACTGCCGAGGGGAGCACATGGCTCTGCTCCTACCCACGTCCTTGCCATGTTGCTTGTCTGCTGCCTCGTGCGCCATTAAGCCAAGACCGAGCTGTTGTCCTCGCCTCTACTCTCTCTCACTCTCTCGGCCTCTCCCTCTGCTTGCCTCTGCCGAGCCGAGCGCACGCCATGGCCGCCGCAACGAGCTGCTGCTCTCGCCCTCCTCGCTCTGCTTCTCCCTGTGCTGCTCACGAACGCCATGGATGACATCAAAGCTTTGCCGGCCGTAGCCATGCCCGCTGCCCCCAGCCACCTCGCGCCAGGCTAGCTCCGTCTCCAGCCCCACACCCCGCCAATGCGCCGCCACCCGCGCGCTGCAGCACCGCCGCCGCAGTGACCGCCTTCGTGCCGCTCGTCCACTGCCGCCGTCCGCGGCCATGCCTCTGCGGGCTGTGGTAGGGCTTACCACGGCCACCGGCACCTGCGGCTAGGATCTCCTCTGCCCCTATTGCGCCTCCTACGCCGACCCATGCCACTGCTGGAAGCCGCCATCGCCGGCGCAACCATCGCCGCTGCCGCCTGCTCCCACGGACAGTAGGCTGAGGGCCGCCTCGGGCCACGCCGCGAGTGCCTACGGGCGCGCCTCGCAGCCGCGCAGCCCGGCCGGCTCTTCCCAGCTGTCGCCGGCTTTTCTCCGGCCGGGTCCTAGCCTCACCGATGGCCGCTGCCTCTAGTTTCCCATGCTCTGTGTACGAGCTGAAGAAGAGAGAAGGTGAGAAAATGAAATAGAAGCTTTTTCAGGATTCCCAATGCAAAACCGCGACTCATATAAATAGTGATGCATAGTGTGTGATGTACTGCGGGTTGAATAGAGAGAAGCTCAGGGCTCTCTTCGCAAAAGAGCCGGCGCCTCCCTGGTTGGGCCGCTTGGGCCGGCGGCTGGGCCGCCGCCTGCCCCGCCTGGGCCGCTCACGCCGCGCCGTGCCATGGGCCACGGCCTGTGGCCGTGCGCGCTCCCCGCCCCCGCCTGGGCCTCTAGCCGTTGGGCCGGTGGCTGGCCAAGCGGGCAGTGCTGGGCCAGGCTGAGCCCATGAAGCTTTTCCTTTCTGGTTTTGTGTTTTGTTCCAAAGCAGTGATCTTGTAAAATTGATAATAAAATGTAGAAAAATCACAAAAATGCCAAACCAATTTGATTAAGTTTCTAAAATCATGATCTATCTGATAGTGTATTTTGTTCGCATAGGTTCTGTATGTTTTTAGGGTTGCTCTAATTATTTTAACATACATAATATTGTTAAGACATAAACTTGTAGGAATTTCCGTGATAAATCGGTGATAGTGTTAGCTCTAAAAATTTTACAGTAGGTTAGAAGTGTTATCAGGTGTTCTCTATAATTCTTGTAGCCCAATAATAATTAGTTTACTAGAGTAGTTAATGTGTTCTAGTTTCGAGTATATTAAATCACTAATAAATCAAAAAGAGACTTGATTGGGTAAGGATTAGTACTTGTTGATGAAAATGATGCTTTATTTAGTGAAGTTAATACTTAGCTAATATATTAGTCATAGGAGTTAGCTTGGTTTGTGCACTCGTATTTTAAGAATTGTTGTTGCCTTTTGATTGATCGCGCCACCCCTGCATTTGCATCAATACATATCATAATAGGAACGACGGTGGATCGATGGTATCAAACGGAGTAGCTGAAAAGATGGTGCCAGGGATCAGGACACAAAGATGGAATACTAACTTTTGGTTATATGTTACCCAAGCAAACCCCGGTGCATAATCCCTACTTTTTTGCACTTTATATTATGTTTGTGCATTAAGTTTTAAGGAGTTGAATGAAACCCACTTGTATATATATATC